GCCTGTCAAACTTCTTTAGCCACATTTAAAAATATGCTGAGAGATTACACAGGCTTTTAATAATGTTTATTTTTAAATTTTTAGTTTTCGGTTATCACAGGGTATCCACGGATGCCACAAGTCTTTTATTCTTTTTTGTGATATCCTGCACTTTAGTAAAAATAAAATCTTATCTTATCTGCCAATTCTATAGAAAAGCTAAATATATGTCCTTTTTTTGTCTTACTCTGAAACCTATGCTAATAGTACAAGGATAACTCATTCTGAACTATCTTCGGAACAATTATGATAGTTATAGTTTTACAGTTATAACAGTTACAGTTATAACAGTTATAACAGTTACAGTTATAACAGTTATGACAGTTACAGTTATAACAGTTATAACAGTTAAAGCAGTTATGACAGTTACAGTTTTACAGTTTTACAGTTAACTGTAACTGGTGCATGCCTAATAATTTCCAGTAGTCATTCTAATGAATGACTGGTCACTTCAGAGACACGACTAGGCTAGTGTTAAGTAAAAAACTAACTTTAGATCCATGAAGAGCATTAAAAACTAAGTATAAAAGTGTTATGTATTTGAATATAAAGGTTAGGGATGTGGCAATACCAATACGATATCGGTATTGGGGTATTGGTGTTGATATTGGAGTATGGTTATTGGAGTATTGGTACTGGTATTGATATATCGGTGTTGATACTGGAGTATTGGAATATTGGTAGTGGTAATATCGGTATTGTTACGTCCCTAACCTTTATATTCAAATATATAACACTTTTGTACTTAGTTTTTAATGCTCTTCATGAATCTAAAGTTAGTTTTTTACTTAAGACCAGTCTAATCGTGTCTCTGAAGTGACCAGTCATTCATTAGAATGACTGCTGAAAATTATTATTATTCACTGGTTATAATCTTTAATGAATATATATACAAATTATTTTTGCTCATTAAATAATATCATCAAAAACGAAGAATTTCAAGTACTTCCACACACGGGATTAATATTTTGTAAACATCATTACTTTATATACTTATACAAAAATTAGTAGTGGGATAACTATCATATACTATAGATCTTCTCTTTCTTTTACCGACGTTATCAATTAATCAAGACTACTGTCATGACTCCCAACATATTTCATTATGTAGAGATTGTTTTTTACATCCAGGGAAATTATCTTAGACTACTAGTGATCGGTAGAAGTAGAGGAAATCTTAGAAAATAACCAGAATGTAAAATAAATGTTAAAAAAAATTTTCTTATGTGTTTCTAAAAGTTCGAGCAACCTGATCATCGTTATTCTGACAGTAGTAGATCAGAACGACTTAATAGTTTAGATTTTTAAATTTCTTTCAATAATTTTCTGAGTTGGGCGAAGAAAATCAAAAACAGATTTGTGGAGGACTACTTTTTATGAGGTTACTGGGTTTATAGCGAATGCTCTTAATTTGTTCGTTTGTTGATTTTTTGTATATGATGAATTGTTGTTATTTTTTGTTATACCTGCTATAATGTTTTGTTTATCACTGTTTATATGATATTGCGTTCTATATGATGGACTGCTGTTCTAATTATTTTGTTATACTTGTTATAGTGCTCTTCATTCATCACTTTATGGTTAACTGTTGCTTATATTATGCGTTAATATTGTTGCTGATTAGAGATTTATTTTGTGATTTGTTATTGTGTCTTTTTCTCTTTCTGTTACATTTCATGTAATTGCCCCTGTTTCTTTCATTGTGACCCATAGATTCTCGCGTTACAAAATAAACATTATGAAAGTAATACTAGTAACTGAACTGGTGGAAATAAAGTTGGTTGAGATCAATCCCTTAGGAAGCAGCTAGGCAGTTTGAATACAGTTCCACAAAGTTGATTCAATGAAATGTAAGAAATTGGGAAAGGCTTGGTTAGTAAAAAAATGCAGTTTCAGCTATATAAAATATATTAGTATCCCAGTTTCTTTAATTAGGAATAGCAGGTAATGGAGCATTTTCATACGGAATGCGGTTTACTTAAAGATGTTTTTGACACGAGAAAAGGATAATTTTTGTTTTTACCTATTCGGCCAGAAATAGGGTGGCCAAGTCTTAGAATTTTGATTCGGATAAAGGGATAGATCAGCTACCAGTGCATACTCAAACCCCAGTGAGTGGAAGAATTGTTCAAACAATTCTCCTGGTAGAACGGATCTGCTCAAATAATTTCTCAGATAAGAAATGATCTATTTTCATAATTCAGTTCATGGAGTTGAACGATCCTAGAAACTTTATTTGTTGTGCATGAAGATGTTCCTATAGTAAAACAAATGTTTTGTATGCAATGAAGAGTTGCTCTTAAAAATGCAAATAAAGTGTGCCGAATATATTAGTTCATAACACAAAACATTTTCGACAGTTCTTCAGGTTCGAACTAAAAATTAACTTCTAAATCCCTATTCTCCCGAGGCTAAGGAGCAGATTATTGATGGCGAGACTACCGTTATTCACATCACCACATGTCAATAGTCATGTAAAAAGCTCGAATATTTGCATGGAAATAACGGCTGCTTAATCAAAAATATCAACTTTGAGTTCGTTCAAGCCTCAGTCTTAATTTCAATGAGTCTAAAGCTCTTATTGTTCAGTCTCAGTAAAGTTCAGTCCCTATTCAGCCCACATGTTCTACGGCCTATGACCGGGATACGCTGTGCTAACTAAGTCACAAAGAATACAAGCAAATTATCACATGTTTCTGCAAAAACAGGATATGTCATTGAAAATTTAGTTTAACCATGATTCAGGCACGACTATAGTAAACACAAATATATTGTCTCTTTTCTCAAAGCTCGTATAAACATAATAGTTGTATGTTAACATTAAATTTAAAAAAAACTGATATTTATTTTACCAAAGTGAATAGTAAATATTTTTATTTACTTTACAAAAGTAAATAGTAAAGATTTTATTTACTATTTACTAGTAAAGCAAAAGTAAAGTGCCACCACTGCATAGGACACGACATTTCGTTGTAAGTGAGTCAAGATTGTTAAACGTCTGGCAGTAGACTATGCTTCTTGGACATGTCTGTGGGAAGGAAGTTCGAACCGTCTCATTATATATACTTCGACAATCTATTACTATCGTATTTCACATAATGAGAAAAAAAGGCAGGGCAAACTGTTTTCCCCTGTCCTGCCCTGCTCTACTCTGCCTACTCAGATAAATGTTTGCCCTGATCTGACGCCACAATGTGCATCAAATGAAGCACGTTTCGTACTTCATTTCCTACTATTTCACTATGTCTGGGAATCGGAAAATGCTGATTTTTTACTCGGCGCGCTTTGGCCTATTTTTGAGTATTATTGAAATACTCAGTTGAAACTTTCTCTTCAATTTCACGCAATTTAGGTATATATGGTTATTGAATCCGTGCCACTGATATAGATCACATCAAGGAGAGGCAAAATATATGATTGGAAGCGGATTTTCATCGATCGCAGAGCGAAAAAGTGACAAAATTTCGTTTTGTATAGAATTTGCTGTGAAAGTGTAAAATCACGAAAAACATGGTTTTTGTGATGGTTGCCAATCATGGATACCAGCCGATAATGCCCATCATTTATATACCAAAATGATCAGCTTGGTGAGCACTACGAACGCTGCAAAGTTTCACGTTGCAAGGTAAAACTTCGGTTTAACATTGTAGATACTCCATGGGACCACCCATTTTGATAAAAATATGGTATTTTTACTCTTTCTTTCCTTTTCTTTTCAAACGGTGGGGGAAATAGCAATTCAGAAGTATTACGTTTTACAAGGTAAGGACATTTTTCCTCTTGCTTGTCTTCTCTTCTCTTCTTTTCGTTTGTATTGCTCGTGTTTGGGCTGGTATTGCTTTCTTTGAGATGGATATAAAAACTCTTGCTTTCGATGCATTTTCCCCAAATGACTTCGTCAGTGGGAATCAGAATGTTCGTTTGCTTTGCTGTACAGGTAGAAAGAGAAACAGGTAAATAGTTCAATACTTTTTTTAGTTTTTTCATGTTATTCTGTGTAACTCGAGCCAGTTTTGCATGACTCGTTTACACTTCTCAGTCGGACTAACACAAAATTCGACCACTTTTAAATAATAGAAAAATTTTACACAAAACAAAAACGAATTTTTCTGTAATTTAGTACAAATAACTATAATAGTGTGCTTACTTATATTATAATATAGAATTTTAAAAAAGTTAATTTTTTAAAATATTATTTTAAACTTTTTTTAAAAAATTTAAAAGTCTTATAAAAAATCCTTGGCTTATTAAATTATTATTTATAAAGTAAAATATTTTTTATAATATATGACTGTGGCTCTATAAAGTTACGATTGCGGAGAGCAAAATTTTTTTCTATTAGTAGAGAAAATAATAAAATAAAATAAATTCATCAGATTCATTCAATCAAATTTACTACTATCCGTTACGAAATACAATGCCCCCGACTATTTTTTGAGTTTGTATGTTAGATGAATCGGAACTAAGAAGGAGATGAAAAACGTTGGTCCCATTGAGCTATGTTAGAGATAAAATGTCCTTATTAAAAAAGTATGTTTATATTAGTTAAGTAGACTACTTAACTTTCTTCTGTTATCGGTGAAAGTCAGAAAAGGACATGGTAAGAATTCATTCAGCGCTGCAATCAATTGATCGGCACAGTCAAGTGAAAAGTTCATTACCTCATTTATTTTTTGAGTTTTATTATTTTTTATTTCTCTTATACATGCACATAATAGGTATCCGACCACTTTATTATACATTTTTATCATTCAGTAATACACAGAAAGCAGATAAAGTGCTGGAATTGAATTTTCCGACTTGATTATAATTTGAATTCCTCCTTAAGATTGACGTATGGCTTCGCAGCTGCCTAATACAACAACAACGTCCGAACAAATTGACTTTGAAGATGCTTCATCTCTGATTAGCCTTTCGAGGGATCAACGTGCAAGGATTGCAGAAGATACTCTTAATAAGATTAAAGCTGGCTGGTATTGCTTACATGGAGGTTCTCGAATTAATCTTGCAGATGATATAACATTTTGTAAGGATAACAGTGTACTTTACACAGAAGATGATCTACAAAACACAACAAAGATAACCTTAAATGTCGATGAAACGGCAATAACGTCATCAACAACCGCTACTTGTGCATGCGCAAAAACTGAAGTTCGTCATTGTACGACACTACAAGCAGCTCAAGCTTTAGTTGCTGAAATGGGTGAAGATCGTGTTGGAGTATTGAATTTTGCCTCGGCTAAGAATCCAGGAGGTGGTTTCCTTAGGGGTTCCAATGCACAAGAAGAGTCACTGGCCAGATCGTCATCACTTTATTTAGCGCTTACCCAAGCTCGGTTGTTCAATGAATATTATGGTTATAATCGACGTGGTAAAAAAGGCATCTATAGCCATCGTATGATCTATTCACCAAGAGTGACAATTTTTAAAGTAGGAGAAACAAAACCACCGAGACTAATTCATTACTCTTATTTTTCTTTGCACAGGATGATAATGGAAAATTGTTACCTTCACCGTATCATGTTGGTATTGTGACAGTTCCTGCTCCAAATGCTAGTGTGATCCAGGATGCAGATACAATTAGAAATATAATGACAGAACGTATTAAACGCTTACTGTACGTTTTCGAAACCAGCAAGCATGACAGTTTGGTGTTAGGAGCGTTTGGTTGTGGTGTGTTCAGAAATAGTCCGTTAGACGTTGCTGTTACTTTTCGACAGCATCTAGAATCAGAAGAGTTTAAAAACTCGTTCAAACGAATCAGTTTTGCAGTTTTGGATGCTGAAATGTATCAAGTGTTCAAGCAAGTGTTTGCTGTGAATGATTTGAGTGATATACAACAAGAAATTGCAGCAATATCTCTGGATAATGTTGATCATAAACAGTATTCATTCAAAAACGGAAATAAACCGTATAAGAAAGGAGGTAAGCGTAAACAAAAACAAAACAGTGGCTTTAAAGAAGTTCAAGATAAAACAGGTAGCAATCACAGTGAGCAAGAAGGTGACGGCGAGTGAAAGAGCATGGTTTTTATGAATGCAGTTGGTATCCTGATCACGTACTATTTGGTTCATAGTTTCGACAGATATACTTCGAGTGCATCGTTTATTTATCACACTTGATAAGAAAAGGCGCGAGTAAAATTGGCTCATCATTTGCATATGATACATCATTCCCTTTTGTGAAAGAAAGGGTTATGTCGAAGAAAATATATTTGACGTCAAAAAAAAATTTTCGCTGAAAAACGATTTTGATTTTCACCATCAAATCGAATTGATCGAAAGACGCTTTCCGGATAACCAAATCAAAGAAAATTGTTTTATGTAACAACAACTCGGTGTTGAATATTGAATTTTGTTCATCAATGAAATGACTTTAATATATGCGTAAAATAAAAATTCTCAACCTAACTGATGATAGAAAAAAAAACATTTTCGAAAAACAGTGCAAACCTTGGATTTAGCAAGTGTTAGAAAAGCTTCTGTAAAAATTATAGGAAATAAGAACCAACTTCGACCGTATGCCAGTAATACTATGTCGATCTTTAAAGAGCGTATGCCTCTGCCAGAAAAGTTTCAGACATTGAAAAAGCTTCATATACGTTATTGATCGTTTTGGTCTTAAAATTGATTTTTCTCATTTTTATTACGTCTTTTTGTAAAAATAAGAGAATATTCTTCATCCTCGGACAAAGCAAAAATCGAACGGTATATTATACGAATATAGATAAAGAAAACAACAATCAGTCTTGAACTCTCGCTATAAAAGGTTCATAAACAATTTTGCAAACCTGTCTAGTATTTTGTTTGAAGAGATGAACTCGACTTTTGCACTTCATTAGAACCGCCATTAAACGAACTTTAAAAGTACATATCGTTTTTTTTTCCCATTGAGGTTTCTCACTGAGATAGTTCGTATTTTCTAAATCGGGAGCAGAGCAATCAGAATTCTGCCCGTAAATCTCAGTTTTATTATTCAGAACTCAACTTCTATGTAACAAAAGGTCATATTCGGACTCAGCATCGCAAACTGAATCGAACGATGTACTTTGTTAGTCTATCCGGCCATACTGACTTTTTTTGAATTTTCATGTTGAAAAATTTGCTGCCCGTGTGTGACTGAAACCAGAATCCATTGTACTGATTGCTCCGCTATCATTCCTGGTTTATTTTGAATTCTTAGATAGTAGCTAGATGCCTAAGGTATTCTCATCTGTAAAGTGTTCCAATAGGT